AGGACTTGCCAGTAAAAAAGGTTCTATATCTAGTTATATCTACATATCTATAACATTCCACACTTCAGAAACTGAAAAACCATTCTACATTTCATTGAAAACATACATGACTGGAAGAGATTTTAAGAAATGAGAAGAACCAATGCCAATTATTAAAGGCATCCCCCACTGCTTAAAATAAAACTTGGACTATGTTCTTTATAACAAGCTAAATGGGTAGACCGCAACTACGCCTGACATTGTTCTGCAAGCACGGACACTTGCGGAGATCTCATGGTAGCACAAATAGGCATTGAGACACTGCTTAAGACCCTAATCTTGGTATTCAAATTCCTTGGGTTTGTGAACTCTGCAGACAAGAACTCTGACAGGCTTTTTTTGCTGCACACAGAGACTTGCAACTTTCCAGAAAAGCAGTGCCTTGTAGATGAAAAACTACTAGTGATGCTTTTGCTGAAATGTGGCTTTTAACACAATTAATAAAATGGTAAAAAGAACATGAAGAGAAACTACTTGTACCTAATCAACAAAAATAACTAGACAGGAACGTCAGCAGCTAATAGAATAAACCCAATAGACCTTACAGCAACGCCAAGTTCAAACATCTCCTTACACTGCAGTGCTGTGCTGGTTTTTTGTTTTTCAAATGTACTCCAACAACGAAATACAAAGCAGTAATACAATTTCCTAGAGAAGAGTTGTATCTAATTTATGAAATGGCTTCTGTATCAATGATATAAAGGCAGCATATGAGTCGAATATAACCGGTTTTGTTCACCACACAATGGCCCCAACACCAACAGCTGTCATGCTTCAGAAATCACCTTTCTAACAGCTAAGTACACTAAATGGCCCCAGGGAGTAAGGAATTAGGTGGATTGGTCCCACAATACCACCTTATTTTAACAAAATGTCAGGACAAATGACTACGTATGTTCCCCAGAGGAGTAATCAGACATCATAATTGATAGGTCAATAGCAAACTCTAACTTGTTTATTTTGTATCCAATTTATTAAACAAAACAGCAATCATTAACTAAGCTAAGGCAAAAAGCAGTAATTGCCACTGTAAGAACAGGCATACATAGCTCAGAAAAAAGTATTTCCTTTGATTATCAGAAAGATTACTTTCCCCCCTCTCCCTGCTGGCACCTGACAGCCTCTGCCACCGCACCCCCACCACACTGCTGCCAGCCAGGAGGGCCAAGGGCCATCCTCACCCTCATCCCAGTGCTGGCAGAGGTGGCGTTTCCTCATTAACCAGGGGCGATGGTTCTGCATGTGGACAGACAGCACCATCCACTTAGAGGCCTTCAAATTTTACCTCCATTAAAAATGCTTATGCAGTTCTCAGAATGCTCCACTGAAAACACAATCCCTGCATGTAAATTATGGCTTTCACTTACAGTCTCATAGCACAGTATGTGCCAGAGCTGGATTAATTCATAGCACTAAAACTTCACACATCCTTCTACCCTAAGTAAGCAATGGAAAAAAGATACATGAAATAATTGTTTGTTTTTAGCCAACATGTTTGTACACGTTTTTCCCTTTGCACTTTCAACCCATGTAAAGCATCACACATTCACTGTGTGTGCCTGGATCTCCCATCCAGGCAGCCATGCAGCTTGCACATTGCCTGGGAATGTATTCATTGTTCATTTGCTCAACCACATGCATTGGTGGTACAAACTCAGATGGAGAACATTTTGTAGCTCCTTTTAGTTCTGATTTTAAACATTGGGCCCTGAGCTCTTTGTAGGATTTCTAAAAACATTTCCTGTAATTGTTCTACAATAGGTCTGCCTTTATAGCAAATATTACCTTCCCTTAAACAGGAAGAATGGAAACTGGACACCCAAAAATGAAGAAACAAGCTAGACAGAAGATTTCAGCTTTGACAGAAAAGCAGCATTGCTTTGTTCTGAACTGGGTACCTCTATCCTAGCAAACCATCAGCAGCGTGTCAAAGAGCTGCTGCGCTTGTTGCTGGAACTCTTCCTGCAAGGACTCCATAACACAGCAGAATTTAGACTGTGCATTTTATTAAACACCGAGGACTTAGGCCTTACCCAGCTAAACACGCTTCAGTGTTTGCTGAATTCTAAGCATGTTAGAGTGCCCCTGAATGCAGGACTGCTCAGGGTATGACAAGACAAACACGGGACTGACTCATTTGATCAGCACCTTCACAGACCCCTTCTTACCACAGCAAGCAGCAGGGACCCACCCGGATGGACTCTCCCAGCCCAGCCTTGGGGGATTCTGTGCCCGTTTGCAATGCTTTTGTTTTAATTTACTGTTTGTTACTGTGAAACGTGCGTGACAGCTACTGCCGTACAAGATCTACATGATTTTAACTCTATTACAGTAAAAACCATCAGAAAGAGTAAAAATGATTACCAAACCTGTTCCTAGATTAGTGCTGAGGTCAGCAGGCAAACAAGGTGAACAAACAGAGCTATTTTAATTTCAAGCTCCACTTGAATCACAAGGAAAAAAAAAAAAAAAAGAAATCAATGCTTACCAAGGCGATATGAACAAAAATTACCAGAAAATGCATGCTTTTTCATTCTGTATTATTTTTTCCTTAATACTAGCTACATTCCAAAACCAAAAAGTCTCATTAGGAATGTCTGTAAACATGTTTTCAAAAGCTATTTCCAAGCATTCACAGATTTACACAAACACCAGAAACAGAAGGAAAAACAAATATAAATGTGATGAAGACTGTGGCCTTAATAATTTTGTCACCTTTGTCAAGCAACCCTCCTTTAGTAACTGTGGCTCTAAAACACAGGTTTGCACTGATAATACCTAGCCTTTACATAGTATTTTTCATCCATAGACCTCAAAGGCTTTTATGAATGAAGTCAGAATTATTACACCAATCTTCATTTGGGTAAATGCTGATCTTTAGCTCCTGGAAAACCATCTAGATATTCACGACCAATCCTCTGCCAATCCCTATGACTCCCTATGAAACCAGGGGTTTCCTATGAAACTCCAAAAAGCAGCAAAGGCAAGCAGAGCACCGACACATATACTTAATTTCCTTGCAGAGCCACTGTTACCATGGTAAGAAACTGCTCTTTTTTCCTTTTAGCATTAACATTTGGATTCCCAGCCCAAAGAGGGCTGGACAGT